CTCAGGCGATTTCTTCATCAAAGCACATTTTCAAAAATGCGAAAGCAATATTCAAACTTGTTGCCTTGATTCAAAAATCTGCCTGTCGCGAAGTATCTTCTTGCACATAAAATTTTGTATATATCTTTCTACGGAAATAATTCTAATCTATTATATATAATCAAACTGTATTAAAGTTCATATTATAAAATTCAATTAATTAAATCATTTAATAGTATTATCATTATTTTACCAATATTTAATACTATTATAAAAGGGAAGATAAAGTTAAAAATTATTGATTATCATAACAATTATTAGTTATTAATTATCAAAATATATTATCAGTATATTAACAAGTAATAACTGCCTCTTTCATAGCAACGAAGTCGGAGGATATCCGTCTTCTCTACTACGAAATGCTCAAATGAGATCATTTTAATAATAATTTATCTATTCATGTTGATATTAATATGAATATTTTGCTTTTGCAAACATTTACATTGAATATATTTTGATTTTACAAGTAATTACTATAATTGTATATGTTCAAACTAATTGCTACAATCGCGATGTGCAAGAAGCCCTATCCTGATCTAATACATAAAAAACCTGAAAAAGATGTTACTACTCACGAATATAAAAAATATCCGCGGTCACTATGCTCATCAAAAATTCTACGTATACAACCAGTCACTAGTGCCGATTCGGACCTTTCATCCTACGACATGATTGAGTGACCGGAGGAACTTAAATGCATGCGACTCACGCAACAGATGTGAAGAACGTTATCATCGATGCTGCACTAGATCAGGGAAAGTTATCGTGAAGATCCTCATCAAATAGGTACCCATGATGGAAGTGAATACCGTGAAAAATAGCCTGAAAAACAAAATATTTTGTTCCTAAAGACACAGTGTTATTGGTGATAATTTAAATTTTAATAATGATAGAAATTCGAACTAATAATTTGAAGTGTTTTTATTTTATAATTATAATTTTACATTCGACTTCAATAGAAAGAGTACTATAGAGAACAGAGTTTAAACACAACATGCGAAAGTACTTACATTTTTCTTCTGAAGCATCACAAGTTCCTTAAAAGATTGGGGGAAGTGAAGAGTGTAGAGAATCTGTAACAAAACACTGAACATTAGAATTTATGTTTAAATGCAAAGCAAAATTTTAAGTTGGAGATAATGAGAGATTCTTACATTTTTGGGTTTGGAGTTATCGTTGGATTTTCCCCAAAATAAAATATCGAAAAGTTGATGATGTGAAACGTCTGTAACAAAACATCAAACATTATACTTTGTTGTCAAATTTGAACAATTGAGGAAATTGAAGTAAAAAAGTATAGAAGAAGTATAAAAGTATAAAATTACTTACGATCTTGATCTCCTGGAGAGGCTTTATCCTCTTGAGCACTGACTCTAATATACCGAAGATCAATAAGAAAAGATATAAAAAAAGAAAAATAAAAGATTATCAACGCGTGTGTTTAAGTAACAATCGACGGACTCACTGATTCTAATTTCACGAATTATAATTTAAATGAATTAATAATCTAATTTAATGAGAACCATTTTTGCTCAGAAAAATATTAAAATACATATTGTGCAACAAACACTGACTCTACCAACCACATTGCGCGCGGTCACAAAAACTTTCTGAAAATAAAGCTGGTTAAAAGGAGAAGGGCAGAGTACGTTCATTTAGTAAATAGTGTTATTTTTTTATGATTTTACACTTGAGTATGCACTAAAGATAGTTGGAAAACATGAAGATCAATATTTGCAGAAATATTTATAAAAATTGTATTTTGAATGTTCACTATTAAAGCAATACATATTAGTAATATATCATGTCGTGTATTATAAATATTTGAAAATGTTTGCACCAATCAAACTCACAGCTAAATGTATTTAAAAAATCTTACACGTATGAAATGTTGCTCTGAATCATTTAATTTTGCATCAGCGTCCGGAAAAAGTATATAGTATAGCAAAGTATAATTTAGTAAAGTATGAAAACTTTGAATTTGATAATCTAATACAAGAACATACATTCATTTGAAAATATATATCATTAAGCTACTATGATTTCTACATTCGAAACAAAATATTAATTGACTTCATTTTTTCCATTTTCATCTTCGTATATCGTATAATTACAGAATTACTGTGAATTGTATTTCAAATATATATAAATCGTATAGCAAATTTTGTCTAGAATGAATAAAATGTTACCTTTCCGTGGAAATTCATTAGATTGTTCATTAGTGTTCATGCTATCTTTGCAACCAATAACCTGCACAAAAAGAAACCAAAAGTTAGAACAAATATGTCAAATGAAGGCAAATATGTAAAAGTGAATCGATGATCAACTTCAGATTCTATTAAAAAAGCGTACGAGACAAAGTACCAGTAACCGTAAGAATGAAATCGATGATCGAAGAAAGATCAGCACGAAAAGCTTCAAAAGCTTATTTGATTTCGTTATCTAGATGCTCAATGAATCGTCAAACACACATGTATTAATTAAATGATACTATTAATGAGGTATAAATGGAAGTAAAAGAATGTCAAAGAAACGACGCCATCGAAAAGACGGCATCGATAGGTTAGTAAAAGTTATGAATTTAATGGCACGTAATACGTGTTGTTGTCACGAAATTTCACAGTTGAATGACTCTTCGCGACACCTTTCGTCGTTCAGTTGAAAAAGTAGTAGGGGATGAGGTAATCCTGCCCGAACAGGCACAATAGATAAGACGAACATAAACATTGTATTTGTGTAATGATTTTTTACTTCGAATTTCGAGCTACAAGGCCTTCTACGTTTTACTTTATTTGAGAACTGAACAATTTCATTATATTACGCAGTAAAGTTACTATTTTAACTGTTGAATACGTACATTTTTAATAAATTATTGTTAATACAATTATTAGAATTGTTAAGAATTACACAGTATGAAGATAAAGTATCAACAAATAATACAAGTGTATGTGTAAAACATATAATAATAATATGTATAAATAACAATAAGTTAGTCAATTACAAGGTTATGATATTTGTACTGTTTAGAACTGAAATCAAATTTTTGGTATAAAATTATAAGTAACTTTTTTTAGCATAATATATTCTGTTTAAATGTTTATATGTTATTATTTATTTAATTGTCGAAAATTATATGTAATAATTCTTTGGATAAATTTACCTTGAGCTAAAGCCAATAATGTACGTTTTATTTTAACCATTCACAATACAAACACAAATGCAACAATTTATTTATATTCTTACATGAGAACTTACGAATAATACTTCTTTCTGGATAATTCTTCTAGATAAAACTTCCTTCTTTACAACTGTGACGTGCTCCTCTCCGCCATGTTTCCCATTCAAAACTCGATCGTGAGAAATATCGATGATTCGAGAATCGTAGGAAGTATATTACATGTTTCACCGTTGGGGCGCTGAAATCGCACATTTCACATGATCATATAACTTGGAATAGAAAATAAAAAATTCTGGTCTAAATACACAAAATTTATGAGGTATTTTTAAAAAAGAATGAATATATTCAAAAAGAATGAATATATTCACTTGATGAAAAATTGTCAATATTTTACTGAGACATAAAAAATTTTATTACAGGAGATATATTATTTTAGCCATTACATACGTACATCCTCAATAAATTATTGTTGGATTTAGTATTGGAATTGTTAAGAATTACACAGTATAAGGTTAAAGAATCAACATATATGTAGAAAATGTTATAATAGAAGGCGTGTGTAAAAGCATACAATAAAATACGTATATATATAATAATGAGTTAGTCAATTACAAGGTTATGATATTTGTACTGTTTAGAACTGAAATTAAATTTTGGTATAAATAACTTTTAGCATAATATGTTCTGTTTAAATGTTTATATGTTATTATTTATTTAATTGTCGAAAATTATATGTAATAATTGTTTGGTCAAATTTACCTCGAGTTGAAGCCAATAATGTACGTTTCATTTTAAACATTCAGAATACAAACACAAATGCAACAATTATTGATTTATATTCTTACATGAGAACTTACGAATAATACTTCTTTCTGGATAATTCTTCTAGATAAAACTTCCTTCCCTCCAACTGTGACGTGCTCCTCTCCGCCATGTTTCCCATTCAAAACTCGATTGTGAGAAATATCGATGATTCGAGAATCGTAGGAAGTATAGTACATGTTTCACCGTTGGGGCGCTGTAACCACACATTTCACATGAACATATAACTTGGAATAAAAAATAAAAAATTCTGGTCTAAATACACAAAATTTATGACGTATTTATAAAAAAGAATGAATATATTCAAACACTTGATGAAAAATTGTCAATATTTTACTGAGCATAAAAAATTTTATTACACAGATGTATTATTTTAGCCATTACATACGTACATCCTCAATAAATAATTTGGATTTAGTATTGGAATTGTTAAGAATTACACAGTATAAGGTTAAAGAATCAACATATATGTAGAAAATGTTATAATAGAAGGCGTGTGTGAAAGCATATAATAAAATACGTATATATACAATAATGAGTTAGTCAATTACAAGGTTATGATATTTGTACTGTTTAGAACTGAAATCAAAGTTTGGTATAAAATTATAAGTAACTTTTTTTAGCATAATATGTTCTGTTTAAATGTTTATATGCTATTATGTATTTAATTGTCGAAAATTATATGTAATAATTGTTTGGGTAAATTTACCTTAAGTTGAAGCCAATAATCTACGTTTCATTTTAAACATTCACAATACAAACATAAATGCAACAATTATTGAATATATTATATTCTTACATGAGAACTTTCGAATAATACTTCTTTCTCGATAATTCTTCAAGATAAAACTTCCTTCTTTACAACTGTGACGTGCTCTTCTCCGCCATGTTTCCCGTTTAAAAATCGATCGTGAGAAATATCGATGATTTGAGGAACTCGTAGGAAATTTATTACGTGTTTCACCGTTAGAGCGCTGTAATCGCACATTTCATATGAACATATAACTTGGAATAAAAAATAAAAAACACTGGTCTAAATACACAAAATTTATGAGGTATTTTTAAAAAAGAACGAAAATATTCATATACTATACTATACTATCAATTTTTTCTAATACCTTTAAATAGATGTAAATAATCAAATATATAATGAACTTTTCATCCCAATTTCCATTAATCGCTGCTGTATATCGTTGTATTCCTTCATTGATTAAGCATTATTACTTTCAATTCAATAAATAATTCTCGAAAATGATGTGGCAATACTGTCCATATTTTTTAATTTTAATTTTCATCACTAGTAGTGCTGCAGTGCAAAACTTGCCTGAATCGGTATGACAGGTTGTGACACGAAAATGGTAAGAGTCCTGCGACCCCTCAATCGTAGGCTGAAAAAAAACATTGTATGCAAAATGTATTTGTGTAAAAATTGTAAAAATTATACATAAATATTTAAATATAATAAACACAGTTTATTAATTGTTGATATAGTAAGTATCTTTCCTTATTTATCTCATGAAAATTCATGAATTTAAAATAGTTATCAAGAATATATGAAATTATTCATTGTTCCCCCTTATGTAATGGTAGTAAAAAATAAGATATATAAACTAAGATTTGTAGATACAAAAAATAATATTTTGAAGTATATTCGTAATAAAACTTAAAGATAAAATCTAAAACAAAATGAGATTAATTTCTAAGAAATTAAAAATAGAATATAGAAATAAAATATAGAAATAAAAATCTTCATAAATTATTAGTAATAAGAAATGAACAACTAATCTTCGTTTTGCATGGTGTTGAAGTTTAAGTAGAAATGAACGCAAATTTAATAAGGTGACATAATTCCTCTTTATAAATCAGAGGAAAATTAATAATCTTTGCAGAAATGATTTTTGATATGATATTACAAATGATATTACAATTATTAATAATTAACAAATTTTTAAATTTTTATTGTACACTTATACTTCTAACAACATACTGCAACCATGAATATTAAATTTTTTAAAAGCCACATTTAAGTTACATTTAAACTTCTCTGGTATCACTAAAGTAGTATTGTAAAATAAAATTAGAAAGGCATTTTTCAACTTTCCCTTAGAAAAAAATAATCTGGTTCAATTCGTTTTCAGTTTTGCAACTATGTAAATTCGGTCATTACCAAAGAATAAATAATCAATTAACATTAGTAAGTAAACGACCCTATGAAATTTGCCGAATAAATAGACGACACAACAAACAGCATGAAGTATCTACGTGAAATGCAAACAATCGAGTGTATCGAAACGCAATGAGCCCCAGGAGATTTCGGTTGAATGCTTATCAGATTTGCATAAAGATTCTGAAAGCGAGGCATTTGCCCCAAAATGCAAATCCAATGGTCGTGGTTAAAGTGGGAAACAGAAGGAAAAAGACGGTGGTCCGTGAAAGAACGGATTCACCGATTTACAACGATGTAAAATTGGATGACATTTTTTTTTTTTTCACGAAACGTTCATTGAATTTATTGAATTCTTCAATTGTGTTACAGTACTTCGTGTTTGATCTCTTTTGTAACTTGGACGAACTCTTGAGCACTAAAATTACGATAGCCGTATATCTGAAACATTATTTACGTTTTAAATTTCATGGAAGCACAACGTTCGAAGTTGCTTTGGTATGGGATCAACCAGGTAATATAGAAAATTTTCCATTTACTTCGATTCCAAGCTGCTCTGTTTTAATCGATCAATTTTAATTTGTATTATTGGGACGAGTCAACAATGTAATAAATTTATCCGAGCAGATCATCAATATTTTCACAAATGGGTGATGTTGACCAATCCGAAAGACATTTCTGCAGGACCGAAAGGTTACGTTAAATGTAATATCGCGATTAATGTGAAAGGAGAGAAATTGAAAGTGCAGCCGGATACGGAGGGCGAGGATGACATCGAAGGGTAATTTCCACTTTAAAATAATCTAACAAGTAATATCGCTTTGTGTACTATACGACATTGAAAACTCTCAAATTGAAGAACTTTAAACTTTCTGCATCTCCAGGATCAAATGAAAAAGCATCGGACTCCTTTATAGCACCAAAATTCTTCGTTAAATCGATATCCCAAATCACGAGCGTCTTTACTCTAAACCTATTTAAACACACTTTAATATTCATTATATGAAATTTCAATCTAAACTTAACGTAATTTTATAAAATTCATATTTTGGCCCAATAATTTCTTTACATTCATTAAATCATAATTTACAATTAACTGGTATAAAAATTCAACAAAATCAACAAAAATGTATCTGCCACGTTTTCTTTTCTTTTTTTTTTTTTTTTTGCTGCGATTCACAAAACAAGTGTCATGTATCATATTTGATCGTTAAATCTCCATAGATTCAAAATATTATATCATATCTATTCCAAGAGGCCTTTCCATAAATTTATTCGTTCTTTTCCCAGTAATTCAACCCCACACTGTGTCTGCTTCGCACAAAACAGAGGATAACAGTATTCCTTTTAATGTTATTCAGTATTCGCGCATATTATAAAATCAATTTAAGCTGGAAACGAATTCGATACACATTGACTTCATCGACCGATTAATGGAAATCAAATAATTGCAGGAACCTCTTGTTACCGGTCGGTGGCGAATTTCTACGTTTCAGGCAACGAGCCTGCTACATTTTTACAATTTATCGGGCCGATGGTTTGCCAGATATGAGCAGCTTATGCATGAAAAATGATTTCGAGAATATTAACCCGTTCGTTCAGATATCGTTCGCTGGAATGAAGGTGATCATTAATAAAGTCGCAATCGAGCGCGTTATTGGGCGCATCTCTACAAAATGATAACTTTAATATTTAACTGAATCATTTACAAAGTTTATAATCAACAATTGAAAAAAGTAAGAATTGAAATTGTCAATGTTCACGAATGGAAATGGAAAATGAGACGCGATAGCACGCACAAAATGACCTGTATCATTTCAACGAATTCGTTTTTAGGAAACGACGAGAGAAGCATGGCAAACTTACAGGCCGAGATTTAACGAGAAGATCACGTTCAGAGAAATGTTTCCATCTCTGTGTCAACGTGTCAGGATCGTTATCAAGCATCGTGTTAATAGCTGTCGAACGTGTGTCGTCGCTTCTTACATTCTCAATATAAGCAAAATATCGAGTCACGGGGAGAACGGTAAATTCGCGTCAGGCGTTATTGAGAATTTCTTCTCCGTGAAAATTTATCGAACGTCGAGGAACCGCGGGAAAATCAGGAAAAAAGCAAGTGTCATAGAACAACATAGTCGGAATACAAACGGCGTCGAACCGAAATCGATAAATCAAGAGACCGAACTATCGTGCATAAACTAAATTCAAATAACCAGTTTGCCAGCGAAACGTTGATTAATCAGCTCTGTTTGCTCTGTTTTATTTGCACTTTAAATTCTTCCACGTAAATTTTTCCTCGTGAACAGGTAACTCGCCTGCATTTAATGTAACCAGCGTTGTACAATGTCAGTTGAATTCGATGTACTACGGTATATTTCTTTCCTTTTTTTTTAACTCGCGCTCGTATCGATTAAATTATCCCTTCGTTTCGAGTCTACTTTTTAAATCGAAAACTAAATTGAAACATTACGAATCAATCTTCTGTTTGAACTTTTGAAGTAAAGAAATGTCGATGTCATAAATTTTCCACAACGTATTCGATGACACGTGCTCGATGAATACGGCCAGTTGTGATGAATATTACATATAATATAAATAATATTTTCTTGGTTTGTTTTTTTTCCCCCCCGAAAAGTAAAGTAGCCTGATATATCGTTTCAGGTTTCCTGCCGACTTTCGGCCCATCGTTTCTTCACTTTTATGGGTCTGGAACTACTGACAAGAACAGCTGTTTTGGCAAGTGTTCTACAGCCCTTCCTTTTTATCGCGGCAGGGTTCTTGTCTCCTTAAAAACTGAAATTGATGACTCGGAAACAACGTCTGGAATCAGCGTGGAAACAGAACTCGCGGCACCAATAATCGAGGTACTATAACGATCATTTTCCTTTTATTATGCGATTGCTCCATAACGGCAAGTTTAAAAGTTCAACTTCGAATTGCAAATTTCGATTTTTTAAAATTCATATAAATAATGTTATACAGGCGCTTTTGTTTGTATAAAAATTTAATATTTTTTTCTTTGCACCATAAAATGAATTTTTACAGTAATTAAATGCTTCAATAAATACAATGAAACGGTTTGTTTGCTAAATAGTAATCTAGCGTCACGGTTTTATTATTTTGTGTTTATCAAGAATGAGCGTGTAAAATAAGTTGACGTAATGTCGCTTCATCGATTTAACGACTCGTTTGCGTGATTCTGTATGAAACTAATGGTTGACCCTGTTATAGCGAATTTGACGTCGTGTCATCATAGTACTAGATCTTTATGAGCATTCCCTTGTCGGACAATGTTTTACGACATTTACGAGAATGATTTTGACGGTCTTAAAAGTTGTTAAATGCTAGAAAATTGGAAAACTTACTGTTAAAACACTTGAAATTCCGTATATTAAATTATTTGATCGTCTTCTCTTGAATTCACGGCCGCTAACTCGAGTCGTTTCGCTTTTCAAAGAGAAGCTTATGGAAGACGGAAGAATATTACCTGGTCGCTGTGTTGTACGATATAAGCATGATCGATCGGCGAAAATTTTGGACGAAATCAATAAGCTTCGAGGTTAGCCTCGGAAACGCCGGTAACAGACAATTTGCTCGCAGCCAGTGCTTCGACAATAACGACGGTATTGGATTCTCGTGTATACTTTCGCTAACAACTCACTCCTTTCGAATGATCGAAAATTGGGGAATCTGGGAGTAGGCACTCGAACTCCCAAAACCAAGCTACGCTTCCATTCTCCAATTACTCGTTAATACGCTTGACAAGTTTGCGCCATGCGCGGCCGTCGTTGGCAAAATGTGATTAATTTTCAACAGGAAACCAGATGCCAGATCGTAGACCGGAGTTCGAGAGCGAGACTGCGCCACGATTGACTGGAACGCTGGATGGCAAATATAATTACGTGCCCCTTGGCTCGCGAAAACCCTGCCTCTACGTTAAATCTTGGTGGCCGAATCTCGACTGGCGGATATACAATAGTAACAGCTTGGCGTTCATCGCTGATTTCCTAGTGAGTTCCCCCTCATCTCGTATCCCTCGACATCATTTCGTTTCGCATTTAATTTTCTTTCTCGTTTCGAATGCTTCATTCTTACGTTGGCAATTGGGTATCTATTATGTTATTTCTTTTCACCACGTTCTTGCGAAAACGTCACAGAATTCAGATTTCCTTCTTTGAACATTCTTGCGTTGATTTTAATTTCATTAGAAAATCAAAGTTCCTCGAGTTCAACGAAATGGACCGTATCACGTTTAGAGTTAACCACAAAGTTGACTTCATGAACTAAACGCTCAATCAGGTTGGACTTACTTTTTCCTTTTTCTTCTTCGAGGTTACCTTCTTCGAAATTCTTTTCTTTTTTTTCCCCTCGCCTCTGGCAACGAAACTTTGTCTAAAAACTTTCGAAACTTCGATCGTATTAATCCCTTGATAAAGCCGATGCACGTGTTAAAATTGCATAATCGCGATTAATAAGAGAGTGTCGTAATGGCCAACCGGGAAGTTTCATCGATTCGAAAGAAATATTTCATACAACCCCGGGTCGAGTTCTCACGGGGCAACGAGCGGGGAAAAGCCGGGCAAGTTTGTTCCGAAACTGGAACGGTGATCTCAGAATAATTTTAATTCGCCGCGACAGGAGGAAAAGTTGGATCAACTGGAGAGCATGGTGGCGCTCGAGCATCCGGACACTTACAAATTCTACAACGAGGCGATCCGCGCCATGAGGAGCCACTGCATGCATTATTTGCATACGTTAGACACAGGACGATACGACGACGAGGGTGGCACCACGAAGCTCGATCGCTATCGCGTGAATCTATGCCGTAAAGAGATTGAGAATGTCCTGAAGAGGATCAAGATCAACGGCGAACTTCCGAGTAATCACTACACGAGAATCGCGATGGCGCATGCTTATCAGTATCTCGCCAAAGTGAAAAAACTACGGGAAGATGTGAGTTGAATCGTGTTTCTTTGTCAAGAGAATTTTCTCTTTTTTTTTCCCTCTCTTATTTCGAACAATCGATATACCGTTTTTAATTTTCACGTTGACAACCGATCTTTTACCACGTTCTTGCGAAAACGTCACAGAATTTGAATTTCCATTTTTTTGTACGCTCGAACATTCTTGTGTCGATTCACGTCCCCAGAAAGTAATAAGTCAACAAGTTAAGCTAAAAGCGGTCGTTTCATGGAAAATCGAAGTGCATTGTATTATAATTTCAAAGAATCATTTGGCACAGCTCTTAGTAGTCATGAATGTTTCGTTGGGAATGAAACTATCACTCAACGTCTAATCTGCAGAAAGAGGACACTCGGTATCTGAACAGCTCAGTTACAAAGAAAAAAATATCTGAATATTCTGCTCGTCAATATAAGAATTTGAAAGTAAAGTTTATACAACATTGGTATTCTTCTACGAATTGCATAAACTTCACAAATTTCCCTGTTCAACTTAAAAGCTTCCTGGTCTACTTAAAAGTTTCATCGGGCATGTACTCAATCTAGATTTCCGTCGTCAGGAAACAGAAAGAAGAAGTTTCAAATACTCCAAAGAGTATTTCACTCTGATTTTTTTGCGTCCGTTCGATTCGCAAAAACAGAGGCGGCGGATTTTCGAAAAAAAAAAAACGAGGAGGGATTGCCTCTCCCCAATCTCTTTGCCAATGTAATAGAATTTTCTATGGAGAAAACCTGACCTTTCCCGCCGAACTCGCAGGCAAATCGCCGTGAAATATTTAAACGCGAGCGTATTTCTCATATCTCCATTTCACCGTGAGCAACACAAGACTCCTTACGAATTTACCAGCCCCAGCACAGTCTCCCGGACGTTTTCATTTGGATGATAACCGGCTCGAAGCGGGTGGCGTACGCGCGATTTCCAGCCGAAAGGATCATTTACTCGGAGGAAGTAATCGAGAGGGGGCCGTTGTGCGGTCAGAAGGTCGACGTTCCGTTGGTGCATCCGCGAGACGAGGAAGGCGCCGACTACATGGCCTGCAAACTTGAAGTTTTCCTCTGGCTGGGTAACGCCAAGTACGTGGGTGCCTGTTGGGCCTCGATTCCACCTGGCTACACGGTGGACCACGAACGAAACGTCGATTCGTTTCCCAAATATTTGGAGTACAGCCGCTTCACGGTATGACAGTTTCTCGGCCGGTGAAAATTTCGGAGCAAGGTCAAGTTTCCGTCGTTTCGCAGACCGAGCCAGGGGCTTTAATTAATCCCCGGCATTCAGCGGACGCCACCCAGAAACGAGGCTATATTTTCCTTCGCCAAGGATACCTCCTTTTTTTTAATTACCTCGTCGTACGTACCTGACGACGCGCGATCGTAATTCCCCAGAATCAACGAAGGTTTATTTGCTCTCCTCTTTGGAAAATTAAAACGTCCTATTCTCTCTTCTCTCCTTTTTTCTCATTTCTCTTCTCGGGATTATTCGCGTCAGGAGAGCTCCTGACGTTGATACGATGAAACGAAATTTCGCGACGTTACATCAGAGAAATTTAGACAATCGGAACGAGACGCGTCCCTGATGAACGTTATTTCAACATTTTCCGCAATGTAGTCCCAGAGCGCGCACACCTTTTTATCACGTTTCAAATTAAATACACGCTCGATTGTTATCTCTTGGCATCGCGAGCTTTGCGTTTGCCCTATGAAAACAGTCCTTTGTAACGCACTTTGACAAATGACTTACTCTTTGAATGCATTTTGAAATAATCGCGACATAAAACATTCTCGTTCTTTTTTTTTCTTTTTTTTTTTTTTTTTTTTTTGTTGCTTAGAAAGAGTGGTTCCTTGTCTGAAGGAGAAACTTCGTCAAAGAATTCTAGTAGCTATCACTTCCTCGTGCGTCATTCGGAACAGCGTTTAACCGTCGAAAAATTTGACTTTGATCCGTTTTAAAGGCCTGAACCGCTTCAGAAACGCACCGGCGTTGGAAATACACGCGCATACTTCGAACGAAGTGACAAAGTGAGTTTATCATTGGTCGCGTTTGCAGGCGTTTCAGCTACGAGCCCACATATTCCAAGGTCGCTTTGATCCCGGCATGGATGCATCCGGTTTATTGGATCCGATCGTGCGTGTCGCGTTTCACGGTTACACGGCCTCCACCAGAGTAAGTTTCATAGGTCGATAATTCACCCACGCTTCCTGACGGTGGCGCGTGAACTCGTCGCCGTTATTATTACCACGGAGATTTCCTCGGTCCCACTCCTCGTTAGAATATCGTTATTTATAAGTGGATTTCCACGGGATTCAATGGCAATCTGTTTCACGCGTTGCGACCCGAGCGCCTTTCGAACCTTCATCCCGAGCATTTTAATCGTCGTAATATTTTCCGAAGCTTCTACGGTTCTACCAGAAACTCCACGAAATCCGCCTCTCCGCGGCGAATCTGATTTCGAACATTGGAAACGTTCTGAATTTTTCAGGTTATTAAGCAGACTCTCGATCCGTTCTGGGATCAAACTTTAATACTGCCGCCGAGGACTGTTCACGGAACGAAGGAGTATATTAAATCAAACCCGCCGAAAGTTACTCTGCAGGTGTACGATCTGGATTTACTAGTGAGTCGATTTTTCTTTTAGAAATTTCTTGTAGAATTTTTATAATGAATTTCCGAATGGAATGAAACTCGTGATGAGTGTCGTAGGAAGAACAAGTACAAAGTACTCTACTTTCCAGTAATTTGAGTGAATCAATAAAAATCAAATAATCTCGAATGTGAAACCTACAGCCTTTTTCAAATTTTCTCACTGTTAAACGCAATATTCAGTAGTGTGAACAAACTCTGGATACTTTCATATTTTAAATTCATTTCGTTTTTTGACGCGAACTTCCACTTCGATCGAAGAAAAAGAAAAGTGTTCGAACCTCGAATTATATGTAATTTCCGACGTGGAAATAATTTACATACGAGTTACCAGGAACTGTAAATGGTTGGCTGAAATCATGACGAATCGAAATTCACAGGGCTTCAAGGAGTTCTGCGGGAGATGCACAGCTATCCCATTAGTTAAACTCGCGGAGGAAACTTACTCGCCGCCTGATTTCCCTCCGAAACTTGAGTGGTACAAATTTAAATCGCAAAGGGATTGCAGCGGTTCGGTGCTCGCTGCCTTCGAGCTCATAGAGGTAAGAGAAGCAATACTAATCGATATTCGACTTGTCAGAGAAAGAGAGAGAGAGAGAGAGAGAGAGAATCTTTTCCACTTTCGCGCTAATGAACCTTTCTGTCATCTTTTGCGTCGATTGATTTCGAGATTAATATCCTCCTCCCACACGTGCTTTATCAATCTATTCATAAACGCGAGCGCAAATCAAAATACAAAGGTTAAGTTACAAAAATAACGGTGGTCGCGTGAGTGTAAATGAAACTCAATGATCGATGGTTCTTTGGAAAATTTCATTATTCATTAACCGTTGGAGATAAACTGGTACGAATCTCTGTGTAAATAATTTACAACTGTGTGATGATTGCAATTGATATTTTCATTTTATCATAATCCGTCAGAGATCACGTTCGTGTTTCTTACATTTGTGTACACGAGATATATTTAACAATAAAATAAGTGTTTATTTTACAAGCAATGCAAAATATATAAAATATAAGATAGTTTATTATAAACATTCTGTTTTGTATTCTGTCCGGTCTTACCGAACACAATGAGGGTCAAAATGTGATGCGACAAATAAATTCATCGAGCCAGGGACAATAAACTCCTGTCTTGTCGCGACCGTATTTCATATTTCAAACTGACATTTCCGTATTGTAGTCATATTTGACTCTTAATTCCAAGGCTCGATGAGTTTCTTTATCGCATCGGTTCCCACCATAAACAGGACACTAATAAACCGGCAGGACACGGAAAATAAAACCGTTAGTTCCAAGAAGCAATTATCACATTTACTTCTTGGAGCTGACCCTGAAAATGTTTGAAAAAACCCACCTTTCCGATCACAGGATCGGAAAGGAAACAAAGAGGGCTCGGATATATAAAAGCCGACTCCGAAACAAAATA